AAGAAAAGAAAACTGTGGAAATAAGTATCTCTGCGTTGATGTTTGTAAAACCTCTGGGGCCCAAGCCAGAGGATGCATGTGGTGGAAGAAGTTTCTACCGAAGCGTGTGGAGCTGTGGAAAAGCTTTCTAGCTCCCACCGTCCCCCGCGCACCCTTTCTACGCGTCACCTCTCGGACCCGTCTGACTGCCAGCTGGCTGTTTGACCCCGCACGAGCGAGGTCATCGGGGACGGAGCTCCGACCCAAGGCTCTGCCGCAGTTTCCTGCCCTGGTTCCCACGTCCCCAGGGCCTTGCGATGTGCACCTCCACGTGCGTCAGACGCCAAATGCTGGCTGACCCAGCAGTCTTTCCGGGGCTTTTCTCTTTGTCACCCTCCCTGAAGAGGCTGGGTGAGCCACACCCTAACTCCCCAGCTCTAGCTCAGCTGGTGGCAGACATGTAACAGCTTCCCGCCCACGCGCGCTACGACCAGGGGTCTGCATGAAAGCTTCCAGGCGAGCGCCGTACCCTGTCCCCAGGAAAAGAAGGCCCACCCGGCCCGGCTGGGGCTGCTCTTCTTTTTCCGACCTTGATAAGGGCATGATATTTGGAGCTTCAACAGCGTTTGCGGCCATCAGGCATAGGCACCTCAACGTCACCTAGCTGCTTCGTGCCTCTGGGCCTTTTCCCTGCAAGAATGACCCCTACACTTAGCCCCCTGTGCAGGTTTCCTGTTCCTCGTAGCCAAAAGCATTCCTAAGGAGATCCACCCTCAAGGCAGCTGGGGAGGCCAGCGCCGCCTGCAGCCCTCCCCCCTGCACTTGGCGCACCACTGCGGTGGGGCTCCGCACTCTGCAGTGAGGGCGGCTCCTTCTGATCTGCAGCTCCCAACACAACGCTCAGTGGACAACAAGTGTCATAAAGACTCAACCATCTAATGAGGAATTAAGGAGTTCTGACACTCAATTGGGTAAATATTTGGGCATTATTTTCACCTTTTATCCCATTTTATGACAATATATTTTTAATCAGTAGGCGGGAATGGCTGACAAAAATTACCTCTGAATTCAGTTTCTTCATGCTTTTCAACAACAAATACTTCTAAGCATGTAGTAGGCAGGTTCTGTGCTAAGCACTAGGAATGCAGAGATAAAGACAGAACGCCCGCCTTCAAGGACCAAAAGTTAGACAAGTGGACCAACAACTAACGGTGTGAATCGTGCAATAAATACAAAAACACTCGACGTTCGCTTCTCTCCCACTTTATCCAGAAACAGACCGTCAGGCATCGCCAGTCTCCTAGCCTTCCTCTTCCGTCTTACATTCCAAGTCTTACATTCCAACGCGTCTTCACCTCCTTCACTGATGGGGAGGGGCGTGTCCTCCCCTCCTGGCGACCAAGCCTAGAGCTGTGCTCACAGCGCAGGGTTCTCACTCCTCCCCCCCTCTGCTTCGGGGTAACCACACTCCCATCTGTCACCCAGACTCTTCAGCTAATTCCTCTTCAGCGAATTCCTCAAAATTTGATATTCTCTAGGGGGAGTGTCCTAGGCTCACTAACTTTCTCACCATAAACTAGGATTTCTCAGTCCTGGCATGACTGACATTTTGGCCAGTTGGTCCTTTCTGTGGGGGACCATCCTGGGCTTTGCATTCTCCCCGGCCTCTAACTTCTAGATGCCAGTGGCATCCTCCCCTCCAAGTTGTGACAACCAAAAATGTCCCCAGACTTTGTCAGATAAAATTGCCCATGACTGAGAACCACTGCCCTAAGTACTCTTCTTGGAAATTTTACCTAACATTAAGATTTAAATTTCACTTACGATAATAATTCTATTTACTGATTGCCTACTCTGCCAGGCACAATTCTAAGCACTTGATAGGTATAAACTCACTTAAACCTCATTACTGTGAGATAGATAAATCACTACCTCCATTTTATACATTAAGGAACTGAAGAACAGAGAGGTGAAGTGATTTGCCCAGGGTCACGCGGCAAGAGTGTGGTGATGACATTTCCACCCTGAACACTCCTCTGAGCTTCAGATTCCTTGAATAACTGCCTTTGCTGGGGCTCCCAGGTGACATTCACTCAAGATGCTCCAAAAATGAACTCAAAAGTCTTCTCTCCATAAGCCGAGCTATTTCTCTATTTCTTAAGTCAGTTAATGGTACAACTTTTACACTTGACCTCTGTGCCTCGTTTACCTAGTAACCTGGATGTCATTCTAGACTCTGCTTGGATTCTCATTTTCTTTATTCCTGAATCCAATTATTTGTCAAGGTCTGGCAATTTTACCTTCTAGTTAGTAATCAAATATACCTTTTTTCTCCGTCTTCCACTATTCCTGCCCTAATGTCTCCTCAGCACTGTTGTAACCAGCTCTTCATTTGGTTTCCTTGTAGACCTCACCATCACCTTCTACATCACTTGTTGCCAGAGTGATCTCCCTAAGATGCAAATCCGACCATGCCACTCCATGGCGTAAAGCTCTTTATTGGCTGCGCATCAGCTAAGAATAAAGTCCAGGTTCCTTAGCACGGCCCTTAGCGGCCCTTTGCAATCTCATTTTGCTTTCTGTCCCCCTGAGCCACACTGAACTCTCCAGCAGGACTCTACCCCTCGGTGTGACCTGAGCAGACTGCTCTGCTTCATGCCTTTGGTCCAGTGCACACCTTATGCCCGCCAGGCCCAGCTCTTCCACAGTGTGTGAAAACGATTTCCATAATTGTGTCCCACAGAGGTCTGTAAAAACCCACTGATTGCAGGTGCCTCGCTGAGCCCGAAGCTCTCATCTTTCTGTGTGCAGGGTCTGCTATGGCACAGGGCACAGTGGTTTGGGAAGCACTGGAGAAAAAGAACACACAGTAGTAACAGGACCTTCTGCATGGGGGTGGGGACGCAAAATGAAGAGAATCAGGAACACCTTCTTCCCAAAGTCAGACTGAGCTGAATCTCAAAGGAAGCAGAGGAACTCAAGACAAGAGTGATTAAAGGGCATGCCAGAGAGAGGTTCTGGGGTGTGTGTGTGAGGGGTGTGGGTATCTTTGGAGTCCACATGACACAGCCTGGATAAAAAGGACATATTTTGCAACAAGCTTATTATCTATTTTAGGAGAGAATACTAGTGGGAATCTCAGGCTTTAGGTCCATGATTTCAGGAAACAGTGTACAATGATTACCTGATTACTTTGGATAATATATTTGTGTGTAGGTACTAAATTTAGCTCAAAAGGATTACTCAAAGTATAATATGAACCATTATTTTCTAAGTACGTTGCCATGTAATTTCCACTTCCTGCCAACTAGGTACAGCCCCGAGTGGCTTTCCTGCAGTCTACCACTGCCTCTGGCCCCCAACACCCTCCCGGACCCTTGGGAGGTTGAGTGTCTGACAATCAACCTAGCAATGGATCTACCACCCTATGGCCTGCCAGCTCGTTCACCCAGTGTGGCGGCAGCTACCCAACCAGCTCTGTTTCATGGTAACAGACTGCTCCCAGGAAACTCAATACACAGGCTGGTCAATCATGGAAGGTGAGACCTGGTGTAGAGATGATCTGGCCTTTTCAGATTCTTGCTTTGGGAATATGGCTGAAACTCAGAGGATTCGGTAGCTAGTAGAAGACACCAAATCTACAAGGATGCAGAGAGAAAAATCATAAGGCACATACATTCATGAGCAGAAATTATACAGAAGCAGAAAAGAAAGCAGCCGCTCCGAAGTAGGCAAGAGATACATAGAGTAGGAATAACGGACTCGAGCAAACAGGAGAAGGAGGCAGGCCTGGAAAAGCTGGTGCCACATTAAGGATGAGAAAGTTTAGAGTCTCATTCTCCTGCTGCTAAGATAATAAGAGCGGGATCCCCATCTGGTGAGGCCGGGATAAACGTTTCAGCTCCTGGAAACTTGCGGGACCGTTTCACCTTTACCGCTATCCGAGTGTCCTCCTCACAAACCCCGCCCCATCGCCAATGCCCCGGGGAGAACGGATCTTTGCAACCAAGGAAGCTGATGAAGACACCTTGGCAAAGAAAGGGACGGCTACAGAGGGCCTTCTGTCGTGGAGAAGTGCTCCCGACCGGTCACCTCCACTGTCAAATCCTCCAATTCTCCGGGAAAAAGTTCTTATTATTACGTGAAACAAACCGGTCCTGACTAGAGCGCCTGCAACCTTCACGTCCAACCGAAGGACAGACAG